CTGGAAATGTGTGACTCTGCCTGCCTTAAGAATCCACAAATATATACTCTCAAAATGATATGAGGCGTATAGACAGGTGCGGTTACATTTTTTGCCCACGATGCCTTCAAGACCAGCCCATGTTCGAGGATTAGCTGATATTTGATTCTCCACAGAGTACTGAGCTGACATTAAATCTGCCAAAGCCCTGGCCCTCGAAAGCTCTGACACATACAAAGCTTCAGTAGGATTTCCGGTTGCAAAAAGCAACGCACTGACATCTCTGTAGGAGCGAATATTGTGATCTGTGAAAGAAATCTTAAATTGATCGTTGTCGCGGAGACAGCCGCGCATTTCCTCGCTTTTTTCAATAGCAGAGAGGAAATATGAGATAGCTTCCCGAATATTTCTCTCTTTCATTCTAAGGTGTGCCATAATTATGAGCAACTGGAACTGTTTTTCAATCTCTCCAACTGCTTCACTTAATACAAGTGCTCTCTTGATATATTCTTCCCCTCTATCATATTCAGCCTGATCTATAAGCAAAACGCCGAGGTTTGAGCAACCCGCTGCTTTTATATCCCCATTTCCAATTTCTTTGCTTATCGCAATTGCTTTTTCAAAACATTCTCTTGCCTTGACAAAGTTACCAACAGCATGCTCCACAGCTCCTTGCTTGAGGTACGTTCTAGCCATCGCATCTCTGTCTCCAATGTCTTTGAAGATTGCAAGTGCTTTCTGATTATATTCGTTAGCCTTTCTATACTTTCCAAGACAGTAACAGTTCGCTCCCAGGTTATAGTAACTAAAAGCTAGTATACGTCTGTTGCCAATGTTTTTACTGATGGCTAAGGATTTTTGACAGTAGTCTGAAGCATTCTCGTATTCGCCAACTGATGCATACAGAGTTACAAGGTTAACGTAACTTATCCCTTCTCCCTCTTCGTCTCCAATTTCCTTCTGAATCACAAGTGCTCTCTCGAGATGTTCTCTAGACTTCTCATATTCGCCAATTGCTCCACACACAGATCCAAGGCTTACGTAGGAGGCAGCTTCTCCTTTTCTGTGTCCAATTTCTTTCTGGATCGCAAGTGACTCCTCGAGAAGTTCTCTAGCCTTCTCGTATTTACCAACTGCTTGATACACAGTTCCAAGGCATAAGTAAGAGCTAGCTTCTCCATTTCTGTCACCAATTTCTTTGAAGATCACAACTGATTTCTCCAGATGTCCTTTAGCCTTCTCATATTCGCCAAATGTTCGACACACAGCTCCAAGGTAATAGAGCGAGGTAGCTTCTCCTTTCCTGTTTCCAATTTCGTTATACATCACAAGTGATTTCTCCAGATGTTCTCTAGCCTTCTCATATTTGCCATTTGGTAGACACACAGTTCCAAGGTTTAAGTACGAGGCAGCATCTCCGTTGCTATCTCCAATTTCTTTGCGGATCGAGAGTGCTTTTTCGAGATGTTCTTTAGCCTTCTCATATTCGCCAACTGATTGATACACGACTCCAAGGCTTAGGTGACAGTAAGCTTCTCCTCTTCTGCCTCCAATTTCTCTACTGATCAAGAGCGCTTTTTCAGAGAGTTGTATTGCCTCTGGGTATTTGCATTGATGGAAATACATTTCCCCAAGTTCTAAGCTTAGCTCACATTCTTCAAGTCTTTCACCATTTTCACGGTAAATTTGGAGAACCTTTTCTGCGTATTTTATGGCGTTTGTGTTATCACTGATAAGACTACAAGCCTTCCACATTGTAAAATATATCCTCTCGTAGAATGATTTGGTGAATTCCTGGTCTATTATGGCTGCTCTGTCTTTCAGAATGAACAAGCATTCCTCGCATAATTCGATGGCTGTTAAATATCGACTGGTGTTGAGAAGAAAGCCGACAACGATGAGGCCGATTGAGACGACTTGTATAAATTCGTCTACTCCGGCGTTGCTCATCTCAGTGATCATATCTGTTAGAATATAACATAGAATAAAAGTGGGAACAAATCTGAACCCAAGTTTGTTGATCCACTAGTTCCCTGCTCCTGTTGTAATTGCAACACGAACATGTATTTCTATCCTATCATATCCTAGGGAAACCGTACGTAGGGCAACTAAAAAAATCATAGCGAG